ACCCAAAGGATCCCTCTTAATTCCGCAGCGATACGATTTGAAGCGGGTAGAAACATTTCTCGCGCATGGAAAACTGCATCTCCTTGGTGATTCCTTACCATCCAAGCTCCACCACACATATGAGACTCATTTAACCAAGAGACATGACGATTACACTTAAGAAAGTTAATGGGAGGTTAACCCATCTGGTCTCACGGCGAGCATTCAAACCAATACCAAGAGGAGGCTGCGGTTGTGTCTCCTTTAACTTATTCCACAGTTCCGCTTCTTCTATTGCATGAACTACCAATGCATTCAAATCACCTTGTTTCCCAGCATATAAAACTTCATTGCGGTGCTTCCATATTCCCCATAAGATCCACGGGATCGCCATACGTATAAAGAGTGAAACACTATCATTGCTCATAACTTTCAACAAAAATGCTAGATTGTCATTAGTTGAATCTGTAAACCCGTGAGAAGGTAAGGGAATGTTGGCAATCTCCCAAACTTCTCGCGCCGGCCAACAGTTAAAAAGAACATGGCTGATGGATTCCAAATCATTTTGACAAAGAGAACATTGAAGAGCAGAATTCATACCATGAGCCTGAAGACAAACCGAGACTGCTAAAGCACCAGATAAAGCTCTCCATAAAAACATTTTGATCTTAGGAATAGTCTTAATCGCCCAAATCTTCTCTTTAAGTATACGAGTCTCCTTGTCATGAGCAGATAAAGGTGTAGGATCAGTTTGTAAATGAGACAATAACCAATTACCACTCTTGACCGTGTAACACCCAGACCGGTTATAAGCCCATACATAGCTATCTGCTGCATCCACATTTGGAGGATAAGACATAATTCTGACAACATCCGGTGGAAAAAACAGTTCCGATAATAGATTGTGGTTCCAAGAGCCTTGGGGTTAATAAGGTTTGAAACCCGCAAATCTAAATCAAAAAGAGACTGTTTGTTGAAAGGACGACGCGGGACGTTATCAAAGATCCATTTGTCAATCCACACACTAGTAGTTTGTCCATTCCCGATGGTTTTTATGAGGCCTTTTCCAAGCAGAGCCCTACCATGGATAATGCTGCGCCAAGCATAAGACGGTCGAGCCCCAACAACAGCATCCATAAAATCCTTACGGTGATAATAACGTGCTTTATATACCCGCGCCAACAAAGAGTTTGGTTTTGTACGAAGTCTCCAGGCCTGTTTTGCGAGTAAAGCTTGATTAAAATCACCAACAGCTCGAAATCCTAAACCACCTTCTTTCCTTGTTTTACACATCTTTTCCCAAGACACCCAATGCATCTTCTTATGTTCTTCACATGAGTTCCACCAAAAGCTTGTCATTGCACTCGTAATCTGTTGGCATTGATATTTTGTTAATTTAAAACAAGACATGGCGTACACTGGTAAAGCCATGGAAACAGATTTAAGAAGGACTTCCTTCCCTCCTAATGACAACGTCTTTGCAAACCAACCAGTCAGTCGGGTTTTGAGCTTCTTTGTTATGTATGATAACAAATCACATTTAGAACCACTAAAACATTCCGGAAGACCTAGATACATACCATCACCACCTTCCTTGAAAATTCCAAGAAACAGTCCCAGCAAATGTCTCATAATCGGCTCCATCTTGGTGCCATAAATAATTGACGATTTCTGAAGATTTATTTCTTGACCGGAAGCATCACCATATAGTTTCAAACACTTGAGAATTTCAGCCCCTTCTTTAAAAGTAGCCCGACAAAGAAAAAGACTATCATCAGCGAACAACAAGTGTTGGATGGACGGGCAGTTCCTAGTCAAACGAATACCAGTGATACGTCCTTCAACTTCAGCCTTTTTCATTGTATGGACAAGTGCCTCAGCACACAAAATAAAGATAAAAGGCGAAAGCGGGTCACCTTGTCTTATTCCACGCTCCGGTTTGATAAAACCATAGGAATTCCCATTCAACAAGACCGAGTACGTAACACTTCTCACACAAACCATGAGCCAATCTACCCATTTCCTATCAAAATCAAGTCTAATAAAAAGCTCCTCCAAAAAATTCCATTCAACGCGATCGTACGCCTTGGACATGTCGGTTTTGATAGCCATAAAATCCTCATTACAGTCCGGATTAGTGCATAATGCGTGAACCATCTCATGAGCCAACAGAACATTGTCTGAGATTAAACGACCTGAGACAAAGGCTCCTTGCGCATCGGAAACAATCTCCGGCAGTCATACCTTCAACCTTGAGCATAAAATCTTAGAGATGATTTTATACGAAACGGAACACAAGCTAATCGGACGTAGATCAGTCATTCTGTTAGGATTTTGTTTTTTAGGAAGGAGACATATTTGTGTGAAATTCTATTCACTCGGTAATGAACCAGATTCAAAGAATTTTTTCACTTCCTCACAAACTTGCTGACCAACAACACTCCAATAAGACTGAAAAAATAATCCTGTCATGCCATCCGCACCAGGAGCACTACAACTTCCGATAGCAAAAACCGCTTGTCTAATTTCCTCATTGGTGACGGGTTTAGTTAAGGCAGCATTCATACACGGAGTGACTCGAGGGCACATACCATCAAGTAAAGAGGTTGCATCACATGGCTGCGAGGAGGTAAAAAGCTTTTGAAAGTAGTCCACCGCTATATTACCTTTAGAACCATCTGCAAACTGTTCCACACCATTATCATCAATTAAAGAAAAAATCTTGTTCTGAGCTTGTCTCCCTTGAACACTCCCATGAAAGTATTTGGTATTGCGATCTCCATCGTTAAGCCAATTTTCATGACTACGTTGTTTCCAATAAATCTCTTCTTCTCGATACGCCGCAGCCAATTCACCTTTCCATTGTTGAAGAAGAACAAATCGTGGAAATTGTTTACAACCTTCTTCCTCAAGTTGTTCACGCAACTGTTTAATTCTTGTCTTAGAATTGGATTGAGAACCACGTTTCCAAAGAGAAAAAGACTTCCGACATGCTGCGATTAGATCAAAGAGACTCGTGTTACCATCCATTCCTTCACTGTTCCAACCGTGTCTAATAATCTCCAAAGTTTCCTGTTTAGCAGTCCATCGTTTATCAAACATGAAGCGACCTCTAAATGTTTGATTCTCATTGACGAACCTGGTCAGTAAGGGCCTGTGATCCGAACCCACCCCCTCTAGATATTCAGCTTGAACTCTCGGAATAAGATGAAACCATTCAGAATTGCCAAGAGCTCTATCTAATCTGATTTGGATCCACATATCATTGCGTTTACCTGCCCAAGAAAACTTGTTACCCGTGAATGAGATGTCACGGAGACGACAATCCCGAACCATATTGCGGAAAGGTAAAAAAGAAGATTCATCACGGGCAGGACCACCAAGCTTTTCAGAATTGTCCCAGATCTCATTTAAATCACCAACTACAAACCATGGTTCATTCCTTGTTAGACCAATACTTGTTAACTTATCCCAAACATCTTGTCTTAAATTACAAGCTGGATCTCCATAAATAAAAGAAGCAAAAAACCATAAGGACCCAAACTTGATTTTTGTGTCGATAATTCTCTTATCTGAGTGAAGAATTTCAACATCATAAGAAGCTTTCCAGAATATAGCTAATCCTCCACTCAAACCTTCAGGATCAACTATATGAGAAGAATCATAACCTAACCATTTTTTAACATCCAACACGTGATTACTGGAGTTTTTCGTCTCCATGAGAAACAAAATATCCGGGAAATGAACACGTCTCATTTCCTTTAAAAAATATACATATATAATAGAAAATCTTACATTGACAAAATATTTGCTGTAACAGATTGGCAAAATTAATCTTGATTGATGTATTTCCGGGTTCAAAGCCCAGCAATGGATTTTTGTTGTTTATGAAAATCGTTATGTGTAGCACACTAGCTAAACTCATCTAGATTGATGACTTAATTTCGAGTTTAAAGCCCGACAATGGAAAACTTTCTTTTTTTAATATGTAATTTTCTGTTTTAATATCTATAAGATAAATTCAAACCTTCATAAAAGATCTGTCGTAGCCCACTACCTAAACTCATCTACATTGATAATATATTTCCGTGTTCAAAGCCCGATAGTGAAAATCATTTTTTTTTTAATATGTAATTTTCTGTTTCAATATATATAAGATAAATACAAAGTTTAATAAAAGATCTGATGTAGCACACTGGTTAAACTCATCAAAAATTGATGTCTATTCTGGGTTCAAAGCCCAGCAGCGGAAATACTTTGTTCTAAATCTGTGATTTCTATTTCAGTATATATATAAGATAAATGCAAAGTTTAATAAAAGATCGCCAGTACTGGCTAAACTCTTGATTGTAACCTAAACTGTTTTCATTATCGATAAAATATTTACAATTTAGCAAAAAAAAAAAAAAAAACCTCAGCGAGAAACATGTGGATGGTACTTTTTTTTGCTTTGTAAAACCCCACACTTGAAAACAGAGAGAAATATCTAACTTGGCATTGGACTCCAGGTCGGTTACTATAAAGCTTTGTGATACACAATCATCGATTCTCAAACAGCACAGTAGAGGAGCATCAACCACAACTCCCAGAACAGATTCAAACCGGATAAAACAAGTTCGTTGAAAACAGAACCTCTTCAGTGACCGAGAGTGCACCCGATAGACTCGTCCATCATTCCATACTACATCAATCTTTAACTCCTCCAGGACAGGGCAGGAAGAGACAAGTCTCTCAAAAGTAGCCTCATTACGAAGCTCAATCTCTTTTAAACGGAAGATATTAAGACATGGTAAAGAAACAAAATCAGCATCAACCAAGGTCAGGCTATAGAGTTTTATAGATACCAATGTCTCACAAACATAGAGGCTTAGTGGCATCTCATGAACACAACCCCCTTGAGTAAGGCGAACATATAAATGTTGGATCTTACGCTTAACTAAGGCATCAATCCATGATGTGAGATAAGAATAGGATGCATCACAACAGTAATATATTGAACAAACACAACCAGTTAATCGATGAAAAAGCTTCGGGCATGATAATTGTATTAGTAATACAAGATTATGATTGGTAACATGACAACATTAAAATCATTCACATTTGAAATTTGATTCAAACTCACAACAGAAGCTACTAAGAAGGCTGCGGACGAGGGAGACGGTGCAGCCAACGAGGGAGAACATACTGTGAAGCAAAGAGACAGTTAGTACCACCGTAAGACGATGGGAAAAAGTATCCATACATGCTCTCCATATACTCGCTGCACCTGTTAAAGCTCAAGGTGCAACCATCCATACACTTGGTCTCGTCTTCTAATTCCTTGTGAAGACTAAACACATGTGTCCTCAAGTTAAACAATACCATACCTTTCTTGTTTCTGCTCCACAAGTAGATGATCTCAGAGTTCAAAGGATGCATCACCACAGGGAAATAATAGATACCTAAATCGATCAAGGTCACCAAGCTGACTTCCCTAAAGAGCTGCCACGCCTTAGGACCATCTGTGTACTTGACCAGCCTCCAAACCCGTAATATGCGGTTTCCGTTCCCACCAAACTCGTTGAAGTACACAATAGACCCTTCCGAGGTGGACAAGGTTCTCCTAAAACGCCGTAACTCATCATCTTTTCCACTATCGGGGAAATGTATGATATCACACGCATCATCATCATCATGACCTCCATAGAAATCGTAAGCTACAAAAGAACCGGTGAGGTTGGAAAGCCAATGAAGAATCCCATTTAAAGCAATGGGCTTGTGATGACTAAACCAGAAGGCAGAATGAAGACAAGGCACTTTTTTAATTTCCCATTCCCCTGTATCAGATGAGTAAATCCCAAAATCGACTCTAGCAAAAGCGTGAGCGATCAACCACACAACCTTGTAACTCACAACGGTACCACTCTGCATCTTTGTAACCAATCCACTGTCGTTGAAACGCTTATGATCATCTTGCAAATGGATGTCAGGAGGGAGAGGAATTTGAAACCATTCTTGAAACAAAGGACTACCAACGTAATGCATAGGAGTTCCATCACTAGCTTCTGCGTAAATAAGGACCAATCCATCGGTACAAGCTAAGACTTGTAGTTTCCTGATTGTGGTCTCGGCAAAGAAACTCACAAAAGATCCCGGAAAATGAGTAAGTCCCCATGTTTTGCATCCATGGTGACCAACGATGTCAAGTGACAATATGTGATGTCTCGTTTGAATGATTGACCATGAGACTGAGGAAGAGTTGAGCGAGATGAAGTAGTCTCGGAAGAATTCAGAGTCGATCAGAAGTTTCCATTCTCTGCACACTGATCTGAATCTTGCGAGGCTTTTTAGTGGAAGTCGCACCAAGACTTGAAAAGCCATTTCTGGAATATTCATTTCTGCATGCAAATAAACAACACATAACCAATGGAATAAAATGCAAAATTTATAATATTTAAATTACCCATAGATAACAAATTGTTTTTGTTTTTCTTTAAAACCAAATAAGAAAAAGTTTTTTACCTATAACAATCAAACCACATTAGAAAAAGAAATAGGGAATTATGACTTCATATATAAGAAACAATTAATAGAATCTACATATAAATATATCGATAATATAATATACGATATTTTTCCACGCGGACAAAGAAAATCGATAGCTTGTTTATCGAGAAGAGGTTAATTTGAGTTTGTTGTGATGGTCTAACTAATGGTAGAGAGAGAAAATACTAGATCTCTTACCTGATTTCGTCAAAAAGGAGGAGAAAAATAGGAAAAATGAAGGATTTTATGGTGGACGGCGGCGACGAACAAACTAGCTTATGTTATCGAGACTATGAGGTTAAATGAAAGATTACACATATTTATACGATAACAAAATGGAAAACAGTAGGGTTATGGTAATCCAATTAAGTTTTTAATATACATCTTTTTATATCAACCACTCATTTGTTTTATCCACAATTCTGATTGGTCAGTGAAGATAAGGTATAATCCATAATGATTTTTTTTTTAAGAAGTTTTGGGCCTAGGCCTGTACATCTCCTTAGGCCGGAAAACAGAGCATTCAATATGGTTTTCTCCCAAGTGATACTCAACCAGCAAAGATATTTTATCAATTGATTTATTAACACTTGGTGATAATGGCTTCTAAATGTTTTTAAACTTTAGATTAGGGTATCATTAGGTTAACCTATATATTCAATGAGACATGATTTAGTTGCGATAATTAATAAACTAGAATCGTTTGTTTACCGAACATTGCATTATAGTTTTTGGGTCAATGGTGTGTGAGACCCCTCTTAAAATTTTGAGAAAATTGGTCCCCTGAGTTCAATTCTGTTTGGGATAGGTTGCAATTTTATATCTTGTGATTTTGTAACAAAGCTAGCTATGCTCTTAAGTTCTCTCATCATAATAAGGATCATGTGATCATCGTAATTTCGTTATGTTGTATTTGGAGATATATATTTATCTTTTGTAGATACCATATACATCCTCTTGTTCAATGGCTCATACCATAAAACAACTACCTCTCTCTCTTTAAGCTTCCGTATCTCCTCTTTCCATTTGGAACTCTTCAAGGTGTCTCTCACTATACCATTTTTGTTTGCCCAATCCAATGAAATCCAAAATTTTGGATCAAAAGAACCAAATGAATTCTTCCAAAACTTAAGGAGAAGATGTACAGAATGGCAACAAGGGTCACGACTGAGCAAGCCATGCATTAAAGAAGCTTGCTTGTTCTTCTTTTCGACGGCCCTCCTGGGAGCATGCATGAAATCGAGTTTTTCTTGTTAAACAACAACAACAACAAGAGTTTTTCTTGCAGAGGTACCATTAAACAGTTTTTATCCCTATTTTTACTCCAAAGAAACAAACATAAAAGAAAGCCTAAACCTGCATTTCTCTCTGCTCTTTACCAATCAAAGAAAGACAACTTCACATTCGGTAGAGCATCTTGGGATTTTGAGGAGTTTTTTGATGAAGTCATCTGTTATTGAATGAGACTTCAAATGTAGAGTGAGTTTCTTGAGGGTGGGAGAATTCTCTAGGAAGTACCATACGAGCTTCATTTCTGGAGCAAGTTCCCAAATTGGGGATTTGAAATCAACAAACTCGAGGGACGATAGCAAACACTCAGTCACAGATGAAATACTAACTCGTTCCATCGCCTTGGGAGACAGTTGATGGAAAGAACCACCAATCCGTTCCTGTGGAGAAAAATGAGAGGGAAAAACACAATGAAACAATATGCAGAAACTTCATATATAGGGTTTATAGAAGATCATTACCAAGATGAGGGATTTCAGATTCGGGCTACTCAGAAAGATTGGAAACCATTTCAAATCATATGCAGTGAGAGTAACGTATAGACTGGACATGTAACCAAATTGAGGTAGCGGTTTAAATACTGAGTAAAGCTGCATGAGCTGGAACCAGAGAGATAAGAAGAATGTGGGTTACGATACGAAAAATGTGCATGTCCAAAACTTGCGTTGACATATATATACCTTGAAAGTGTTTGCACATATCGTCATATCTCTAACCCTCGAAATCCAAGCGAGAAACATGTTTCTTTCGTCAAAAGCCCACAAACGAAAACGGAGAGAAATATCTAGGCTTGGCATTGGACTCCAGATCGGTTACTATAAAGCTTTGTGATAAACAATCATCGATTCTCAAACAGCACAGTAGAGGAGCATCAATCACAACTCCCGGAACAGAATCAAACCGGAGAGAAAAACTTCGTATAAAACAGAATCTCTTCAGTGACCGAGAGTGCACCCGCCACCCGATAGACATTCTCATCATTCCATACTACGTCAATCTTTAAGTCTTCTAGCACATGGCAGGACGAGACAAGTCTCTCAAAAGTAGCCTCATTGTGAAACTCAATATCTTTTAAACGCAAGATCTTTAGGCAAGGTAAAGAAACAAACTCAGCATCAACCAAAGTCAGCCTATAGAGTTTTAGAGATACCAATGTCTCACAAACATAGAGGCTTAGGGGCATCTCATGAGAATAACCACCTACAGTACGATAAACATATAGATGTTTGATCTTACGCTTAACTAAGGCATCAATCCATGATGTAAGATAGGAATAGAATGCATCATTTCTATCTATAGATAACTTGAGGCTGTCTATGCATGAAACCCTAGCGGAATCGAAAAACCAGTTACCGAAACTCAAAAAGGCAGTGAAACTTGGGAATTTCGAAAATGAGAATTCTAAATTAGGAACCCAAAGCCAGAGAGGCCTCCATCTGGAGGATAAGACGCTGGACCTAACAGCTTCCTCTGTGGGAAGATGATTAAGTATCTGAATCAATAAAGGATCTGGTAATTGGCTTATTCTATCTTCCATCAACCTCTGACTCAATCCTTTGGAACCACAAGCCATTTGTTTTCTTTTTCCAAACTACGAAATCTGTAAAAAAATGATACAAATTTCAGAGCTGAAAACGTACATGCAGGCAGATATAAATTTCAGAACTAAAATGCTGTTTTGATTAGAAAGGTTTTAATACCCATCATGGTGCATGTATCAGTCTTACATGATCGAATGAGAAAAATGGTATTTACTTACATAAGATTTCGGTTGAACTTTGCATTTTTCAACCATTAGACATTGGGATTTTGAGAAGAATGAATGTAGAATCTCTGTATTTATCCTTGTAAATGACTAATGGCACAATGTATCAATACAGTGAAGAAGAGTCTCTAGAGCTCCACTGTCTAGAACACAACTTCTATTAACAACTAACACACAAATATAATTTGATTACGAGCTTCTTCTCTTCTTCCTTCAATTTAGCTCTTACATGTGCCTTCTCATACAATCTTTGTAGCTTATCAGATTGAAACTTGAAACATATAACGCTAAGTAGGATTCGGACCAGGGAGATGGTGCAGCCAACGAGGGAAAACATACTGTGAAAAGAGGAGATGGTTAGGACCATTTTGAAATGATGAGAGAAAGTATGTATATATGCTCTCCATATACTCGCTGCACCGGTTAAAACTTAAAACGCAACCATCCATACACTTACGAACGTCTTCAGTTTCCTTGTGAAGACTAAACACTTGTGTCCTCAAGTTAAACAAGATCAGACCTTTCTTGTTCCTATTCCAGAAGTAAATGATCTCAGAGTTCAAAGGATGCATCACCACAGGGAAATAATTGATACCTGACTCCATCAAAGACACCAAGCTGACTTCCCTAAAGAGCTGCCATGCCTCAGGACCATCAGTGTACTTGACCAGCCTCCAAACCCGTAATGTGCGGTTTACATTCTCAAGGAACTCGTTGAAATACACAATGGACCCTTCCGAGGTTGTAAAGGTTCTTCGAAAACGCCGTAACTCATCATCTTTTCCAACACCAGGGAAATGTATGATACAAAAACCATCATCATGACCTCCATAGAAATCATATGCGATAATAGAACTGGTGAGATTGGAAAGCCAATGAAGAATCCCATTCAAAGCAATCGACTTGTCCCGACTAGTCCACAAAGCAGTATGGACACAAGTCACATTTCGTCTATCCCAAGTCCCTGTATCAGATGAGTAAATCATAAACTCAACCTTAGCAGGATGAGTCAACAACCACACAATCTTGTAACTCACAACGACACCATTCTTCATCTTTGTAACTAATCCACTGTCGCTAAAACGCTCGTGCTTTCGAAATCTCTCAAAATTACGGAAAGGAGGTTGAGGGATTCGAAACCATTCCTGCAACAAAGGGTTTCCAATGTAATACATAGGAGACCCATCACTAGTTTCTGCACAAACTGAGACCAACCCATCTGTACAAGCTAAGACATTTAGTTTATTGATTGGTGTCTCTGCAAAGAAACTTACTAAAGATCCAGGAGAACGAGAAAGTCCCCATCTTTCGCATCCATGGTGGCCAACGATTTCAAGTGTCAGCTTTTGAGGTTTGGTTTGAATGATTGACCATGAGATTGAGGAAGATGAGTTCAGAGAGATGTAGAGATCTCTGAAGAAGTCTGAATCGATTAACAATTTCCATTCTTTGCTCACTGTTCTGAATCGCGCGATACTCTTCAGTGGAAATCGTACCAAGACGTTGACCAACGTCACTTCTGGAATCTCCATTTTTTTTTTCCGTTTTAGGGTTCTTCTCAGGGGATAGGTTAGATCAGTGGTTTCCGACCCGACCCGACCCGACCCGACCGGATAAATCTGGTAATTGGATTACTAATTACAGTATGTTTAGGTCCATGATAATTGTATTACTAATTCAAGATTATGATCATTGGTAACAGAACAATTCACAACAATAAAACCATTCACATTTGGAATTTGATTCAAGTACTCAAAACAGAGAATAGACTAAGAAGGCTGCGGACGAGGGAGACGGTGCAGCCAACGAGGGAGAACATATTGAGAAGCGAGGAGAAGGTTAGGACCACCTTGAAACGATGGGGAAAAGTCTCTATGAACGGTCTCCATATACTCGTTGCACCAGTTAAAGCTCAAGGTGCAACCATCCATACACTTCCTCTCGTCTTCGGATTCCTTGTGAAGACTAAACTTATGTGTCCTCAAGTTAAACAAGACCATACCTTTCTTGATTCTGCTCCACAAGTAGATGATCTCAGACTTCAAAGGATGCATCACTACCGGGTAAAGGACACCTAGCTTGATCAAAGACGCCAAGCTGACTTCCCACATGAGCTGCCACGCCTCAGGACCATCAGTGTACTTGACCAGCTTCCAAACCCGTAATCTGCGGTTTGCGTTCCCACCAAACACGTTGAAATACACAATAGACCCTTCCGAGGTCGTGATGGTTCTCCTAAAACGCGGTAACTCGTAATCTTGTGCAATGTCGGGGAAATACATGATACTACACGCATCATTATGACCTCCATAGAAATCGTAAGCTACAAAAGAACCGGTGAGGTTGGAAAGCCAATGAAGAATCCCATTTAAAGCAATGGGCTTGTGATGACTAAACCAGAAGGCAGAATGAAGACAAGGCACTTTTCTAATTTCCCATTCCCCTGTATCAGATGAGTAAATCCCAAAATCGACTCTAGCAAAAGCGTGAGCGATCAACCACACAACCTTGTAACTCACAACAATACCACTCTGCATCTTTGTAACCAATCCACCGTCGTTGAAACGCTCGTAGTTCCGTAATCTCTCAACAAATTGCGAAGTGTATTTAGGACGGAGAGGGATTCGAAACCATTCTTGAAACAAAGGATTACCAACGTAATACATAGGAGTTCCATGGCTAGATTCTACGTAAAGAAGGACCAACCCATCGGTACAAGCTAAGACTTGTAGTTTCCTGATTGTGGTCTCGGCAAAGAAACTCACTAAAGATCCTGGAGAACGAGTTAGTCCCCATGTTTTGCATCCATGGTGACCCAAGATTTCGAGTGTCAGTTTATGAGGTCTCGTTTGGATGATTGACCATGAGACTGAGGAAGAGTTGAGCGACATGAAGCGATCTCGGAAGAATTCGGAGTCGATCAGGAGTTTCCATTCTTTGCACACTGATCTGAATCTTGCAAGGCTCTTTAATGGAAGTCTCACCAAGACTTCGAATATCATTTCTGGTATAGTCATTTCTGCATGCAAACAAACAACACAAAACTAATGAAATGAAATGCAAATTTATAATATTCAAATTACATATTATTTTTGTTTTTCTTAAAAACCAAATAATAAAAATGGTTAAATATAATAATCAAGCCACATTAAAAAAGGGGGATTCATTACTTCATGGATAAGAAAAAAATTGAATTAAATTAAAATTAATTAATCGAATCTACATATAAATATATCGACAATATAATATACGATATTTTTCCATGCGGACAAAAAAACCGATCGCTTGTTATGTAAAATGTTTTTCGAGAAGAGATTAAATTGAGTTTGCTGTGATGGTCAAACTAGTGGTAGCGAGAGAGAAAATACTAGATATCTTACCTGATTCGTCAAAAAGGAAGAAAAAACGGGACAAATGAAGGTTTTTATGGTGGGTGGCGGCGACGAACAAACTAGGTTATGTTATCGAGATTATGAGGTCAAATGAAAGATTACACATATTTATAGAATAACAAAATGGAAAACAATAAGGTTATGGTAACTCAATTAAGTCTTTAATGTACATCTTTTTATATCAACCACTCATTTGTTTTATCTACAATTCTGATTGGTCACTGAAGATAAAGTATAATCCATAATGACTTGTATTTTTATTTTTATTTGAATTACTAAGAGGTTAGGCATAGGCCTGTATATCCCCTTAGACCGAGACCGAAGACCAGAGCATTTAATATGGTTTCTTCCCGAGTGATACTCGAACTAGCGACCTCTGGGTTTTGCTTGAGATTTTGTAACAAAGCTTGCTAGGCTCTTAAGTTCATATCATAATAAGAATCATGTGATCTTAATTCGTTATGTTGTCTGTGGAGATATATATTCATCTTTTGTAGATACCATATACATCCTCTTGTTCAATGGCTCATACCAGTATTTGTAACAACATGATAGTTAACACTTGTATTTCAACATCATAGTTTGCTCAAGTCTTCAATTTAAAACGAGAAGATAAAATATCCAAACCATACAAGATTTGTTTTCTTTTTGGTAATTATATTTGCTAGGAACACTTTAACTTGGCTATATATAATCAACAATTACAAAATTCAGTCAAAAACGCACTCATATAAACTACCTTTCTCTCTGTTTAAGCTTCCATGTCTCCTCTATCCATTTGGAACCCTTCAAGGTGTTTCTCACTATACCATTTTTGCTCAATCCAATGAAATCCAAAATTTTGGATCAAAAGAACCAAATGAATTCTTCCAAAACTAAAGGAGAAGAAGCAATCCATGGCTGTGCCCGGGATATACAGAATGGCAACAAGGGTCATGACTGAGCAAGCCATGCATTAGAGAAGCTTGCTTGTCCTTCTTTTCGACGGTCCTCCTGGGAACATCTTCATGATCCATCCTAGAACCCTTTCTACCACCTAAAGAGAGAGAGAGATGTCATTAATCTGTAGTCTCTCTAAGATTGTGTGTGTACCTGAACACAGAGAGAGAACGAGAGAGAGAGAGAGAGAGTGTGTGTACCTCATCGCCTTCATCTGCAATCGGTGTTCTCTCTTGAACAACATGAGAATCCAGCTGCTGCTTTTCAGGTGAAACATTGTCTATGGCCATCTTCTGTGCTGTTACAAGCTCTAACCTTTTTGTCTGTGCTTCAAGTTTTCTGGATAATTCTTTGTTCAGCTCCTATGAAGAAACATGAGAAATATAATTAATGACTCGAGGATACAGGAGAAACACAAAAACAGTAATACGCTACTTATAAAAGATCCAGAGAAAAATATGGAGCGCAGGCACCAACATGAAAAAAGAAGCTTAAGAAGAAGACATGGCATGTGATTTTGAGCCTATGAGGACTTGGGGATACATGAGGAACGCACAAACAGTAAAACGCAACTTATAAAAGACCCAGATAAAATAAGGAGCGCAGGGACCAGCATGAAAAAAAAGCATAAGAAGAAAACTAGGCATGGGATTTTGGGTCTATGAGGACTTGCCAAGTCCGACTTGGTGATATAAATCTATACCATATAGAAATCTTAGTCAGAGAACTTATGCATGATGTTGTGGTGACAGAAAATTCTTACTGAAGTCAAAGAAGACATGTTTTTAGCCCCATGAATTTATGTTACTGTACCTGCACCTGCGCACTTCGAGATAACTCAGATGACAGTGCTTGCACCAGTTCTTCCTTCTCAATTGCCAACTGTAGCCGAAGAAACAAAATAATCGTCACGTTATTATCCAGATTGAGAAAATGATAGCACCTTGAGACTTAAAATGTATTGATTCTCACAGCTAAAGAAAACATCAAATAAATCATCCAAAAAACTACCTCAGCAATCAGCGTATTAATGTTATGAATCACTCTCATCTGATCAGCTGGGACACTCAATGAAAAACCTTCAAGAGTTAATTGTCCAGTTTCAGGAATGATAGCTGTATTAGATGAATCACTTTCGAGCAGAGTAGCAGAATCTGTTTCCTGGTTGGAGCTCTTTGGAGTAGTATCTGAGATTGCTGCACCAAGAAACCAAAGAGTCATGGGACTGGTGAGAAGTCAAAGATTAAACTTGAAACTTTATCTAAGTGATGCCAAAGATGCAGCAAATATATGAGTCTAGACATCCAAAATACGCTTCAGATTTCTTAAATAATGTGCAAAGACCATTACCGAGACCTTCTGTAGAGGTTGATGCGTTTTTTCTGCTAGTTGAGGTTTTACTCAGATCAGTGGATTTTCCACCAGAGGAAGCTTTCTGCACCATAGTCTGTAGGACCTTCTTCTCTGAAACAGTAGATGCAGAATATAAATTAAATATAGATTTGTTCAATCACATTACTTTTTAAAGGAATAGATTTCAATGTGCATACCTTCCTGAAGAGCTTTAATAGTAGATTGTAAATCTTGACGATCTTTCTCTAGGCTCTGTAATTTTTTCCTATAAAAGTTGACAGGTAATTATAAGTAAGATTAAAATAGATCCCAGAAAGCCATAAAAGTTACAGACTAAATCCTTAGGGGGGTTTCCAGTGTCCCATGATTCTTTTCGGATCAAACATCATGTAAAGTTAAGATAAGGACAGGTATATAGCAATCCAGTAAAGAGCATACTTGTAAGATAACATTTCTGCTTGTGCATTCTCCAGTTCCCTCTCCAGCTTTAACTCATTAGATCTGAGTCTTAGAGCCTAATATTTGTTCCAAGAAAAATTTAAGCTAAACAGATGTATATAAGCATCTGAAGGTAGAGGAAACAGATATCTCACAGCTGAAATAGCCAAAAACTAAACTAAAAATGTCCTCTCACACTTTTTAAAAATCGAATGTGAGTGTAAGAAAGAACATCCAAAGACAAATACCTTATCTTCCAAACTGATGACTTCAGAAGCCAGTATTTGGGAACGCTCATCAGCAGCATTACATTCTAGCTGCGCGTTTGCATACTCAATCCTGACAGACTCAAGTTCGCCCTGGACGGAATTAGTGTTAAATCAAGTAACAGCTTATGAAGTAATCTAGACAATAGCTCCAGTGGATGAATGAACATGGCATACAAATACT